CTCTGCTTTGCCGCCTTCTCACTTGCTAATGGAACAATAAATACATCATTAGATATAGATCAGAGATACGAGAGGTTTCTTTTTGTTATTATGTAGCATTGATTTGTAAAACTCTACAAGTGATTTAGAGGGTTTCATTAGCAGAGATTACAAAATAGTAGCTACATCAGCCTGAAGTGTTTATGACTTTTTAATAAAAAACACTTGGCTATTAGAAAATGGCAACAAACGACATAAAACACACCATTCTGTTATAGACTTGGAAACAAAGATGCACCAGATACATTTCAGTTACGGATATCTTTATTCTGCTTTATTATAATGAACACAACTGCTCCGACATATTTTCTCTTTACAACGTCCCGGCTCCGCCCACTGTGTCCCTGTAGCACATTATCCCGATGACCAACTTTTGTCAAACGCCTTCATTGCTTTTGAAGAGAATGTTTTCTGATCATGAACCTGCTGCCGAGAAGCCAGTCTTTCCACATTCCTTACTGTAAAGTTACATTTCAGAAAACAGGGATCATCAATGTGGTTAAGTATTCTTTCAAAAGGAACTGAGGCAGGCGAGAGTTTCTTTTTTAAACCCTTCTGCAAATCAACCAACAGATGCTCCCTGGTGTCCCTAATGCCCCACGAGGGCACAGAGCTTGATTCGGTGTTGCGTAACCACATCAGCAGCATCACCTGACATCACTCAGAGTTAAGAATGTGTCCCTTTAAACAGCTGCTCCAATAATCTGTGGCAGATGTTATTATCTTTGAATTGTAAAGCCATCCTTATGGTAGATAACAGTATACTGCAGCTCAGTTTGCTTTCCAAACTGCTCAAAAAAGCTACAGCCATTTTAACATATTTCATTAAAAACACATGTCAAACAAAGCCTGAAGAAACTCGGTACTGACTTTACGAGTTTCAAAAACAGGCATGTCGAAAAATCTGATTTATAACCTTTTTACCTCGTTCTTTAAGCCAAAATCCCAGTGTTTGGACAGCTGGTTCCCACTTGAATTATTCAGTTTGCCGTATTTCATATCGGGTTATAAGAACATTCTAGTTTTCTTAGCTAATCCTAAAAGCATTGGTCGGTTGTGATATGCTTTCAGTACCAACCTTGGAGCAGCATTTCCATGTTGTTTTGATCTTGTGTGTTTTCATCGGTGTCTGTTGAATGACGGAAGATTTTTATTGTATTTCTCATTCCATCAGTATGATTGAATCTATTGGAACATTGCTGGAGGATTCTGTTACTTCATTTTAAGAGGGTCACTCTAAAGTCTTTAGACTAATGCTGGATTTCTAGCAAAGAACTAATGGGTTAGACAATAATGTAGGGCTGCTCGATTATGGCAAAAATCATAATCTCGATTATTTGGGTCAATAATTGATATCACGATTATTAAAAACGATTATCCATTTACTTTGAAAACATCAATTTATTGGAGAATTTTTTTTTGAACAGTATGTTTTTAACAGTTGATTACCCTGAACTTTAAGTATAATTCAACTGAGAAACATAAAAAATTATAATAATAAAAAAATAATCGTTTTATTTCGATTACGTTGTTTTCGTAATTGTTGCAAGCCATAATCGTAATTGCGATTAAAATACGATTAATTGAGCAGCCCTACAATAATGTACCCTCTTTGTTCTGGTACCCCAACACCAGTGCAAGCATACTGTATTTGGTAGAAGGAGGTTTTTACACAGTGCTGCACCATCAGTGTCTGATTTACTAAAAACAACTTTTGGTTGCTACATTTCACATGTTAAGAATCCATCATTAAGTTCATGGAAAACCCATTTATGAATTAATTCTAGCTGCATTGACCTGCGTCTCTTTGATTTGATGCACAGTCATTTGAGAGAGAGAGAGACATTGGATCCTTTTTCACTTAATTTCCAGTTTATTTTCGCTTTATTTATTGAGAAAAGGCCAATTATTGATTTGTGTTTTAGCTGTATTCAGGGATTTTTGTTGTCTGTCATTCAACATCAAAACTGGCATTCTGATCACACTGAACAAACATTGTTAACGAGATTGCGTCAGTTGCAACTTTTAACCGCTTACAGCAGTTGGGAGTTCAAATATAACATTTAGTTTAGTTACATCATTTGGTTTTTATCGTATTACTCCAAAGTGGGCTGCACATACCCCATTTATAAGGCTCTTATGGCATGTTGGCTGTTCGGCTTCATCCCGTGTGTCGTGTGGACTTGCTTTAGTTTGGACTGATCCCAGCACAGCTCCTGCCAAGAGTTTAATGTTTCCCTTACTGATGTCTGTGTGCGATGCCAACAGAATAAAGCTTTTGTGTTGAGTTAGTCAGGAGTGAACCTCGGGGCTGGGCGACATCGTACATCCTCCTATTGTCTTACCGTCTCCCATTAGTCCAGGGATGGGCACAATGCAGGACGTACCACATATTCCCTGAATGCACCCAATTAGCACAACAGATACACACACTCCATTGATTGTCCGGTGTATCCCCTGTTTGGAATTATTTCTGAAGTTCTCTAGTAACAAGTGCTGAAAAAACTTCTGAATTTTAACTTCCTCCGGCTTTGCCAAGGAACCATATTTTATTTATAGTTGGCATTCTTTCGTACTTCACGGTCATACTTTGCCTCATCAAAGTGACTAGCTTTGTGTTTGCTACAGGTAGAGTTTCAGTGTTCCGGTAACTCGGCATTGACTGTTTACGATTTAGCTTCTTCAATTCCAGTTTTTAATAATTCGTTATTCTGATAATGACAGAGCTAGCATTGTCACAAAACCAAAACTTTACGTCAGATGCCAAAACCTGCGTACACAACTCAAAAAGCATAAACACTGAAAACATAGCACGGTAAAAACATAAAACAACAGGAAATGTAACAGTAATGAGTGACAAACAGGAGTGAATGTGTATACTAAATATATTAAATGCCATTTTTAAAATGTCTTCCATTTTTGTAAAGCACTTTGAATTGCCTTGTGTTGAAAGGTGCTATATAAATAAACTTGCCTTGCCTTGCCTTGCCTTGCCTTACCATAGTGTTTTAATACATTTTAATACCCACCAGAATGACGACTTGTGTTACAAAAGCTGCTGTATTGTGTGGCAAAAGTGTGGCGTCAAAAGTATTACAGTTCAATATTCAACCCTTATTGAAACTTAGAGCTATAAGATAGTCACATCATTTCCCCAAATCACTTTAGCTTCTCGTCCCATTTCCTCCATTCCACATGTATATTTGCACCAATGTTTTCTGATTCATAATTTTAAGACTTAATTTTTGGCTGTTTTCTCACGTTTTATGCCTAATACTTACAGATTGCTTTATGCTTGATTTTAGTAAAATATTTGTTGTCAAGAATCAAAGAATTGCTATGTCTTTTATTACGCAAGCAGGTTTAACTGTTCCCCCCCTTAGGCGAGCAATATGTCCCAACATCGTGTTTGACCTTGAGAGGATGGAAAGAAATGATATTGCACAGAAACCAAAGCTAACGTAGACAGGCTCTCTGTGTAGCTGACAGATGGCTCAGGTGGAAAGATGCTGAGTGATCCACCCACAGCTCAGCCCTGAAGGCCTGGCACTCTTGGATAATTGATAACACCTATTTATATTTGTAACAGCGTCTCTGTGCTGAAAGGTGTTCGTCCACACTTTCGTTTTATGTTTCCTCTCTGCATCTCACCACAGACCTGGCACGCAGCCACGTTAGTTTAGATGCAGTTAATTCCATCCCTAATATATGGCGCCTTTACTCGAACCAAACCCATCTTCAAGGTTAGCCTTTCATCTTAACTTTTAACACGATTGATGACTGCATCTTGAAAGGTTCGCACGGGACCCACATTGTCTCGTATCTGTCCAAAAATATGTCGTGAAATAATTGCCTTGACATTTGCTAAACACAATTGTGGTCCTCGGAGAAAAAAAGAAGCGAGCCTCTGGAATTTTCTTCTTTAAAACCCTCACTTCTATTGTGGTGCACAATGCACATTGAAGCCCCTCGGGCTAAATAACTTCGTTATAACATTATGCCTTCAAAATGATGGTTATGACTCACTTCTGTTCATCTGTTAAGGATGCCAGACCTGTTATGAAGTCATGCTGGGAAGCTTATTTTTCTCCCACACCCTTTAATGTACAATATTTGTGGCCAGTGGGGGAGGAAATGCTTTGAAAGCCTCTGAGTCAGCGTAGAGGATTAGTTTGCAGACGTCCTGTGTTCATCACTATAAGGGCTATTCATGGAGGAAGAACAGTATGTCGTATACCCAAAGATTCTTGGCAGGGAGGCCACCAACGTCACCGCATTGTCTGTGCACTGGAGGGAGACTTCCTGTTGTAGTAACACAAGGACAGACATGTGAACTAACCCAGCAGGTTTTATCATGTTGGCATTACATGATTATCTCAATGTCATATCAGATAGTGATATTATGGTTTTAATTAAAAGTAGTTGAGCTATTACAAGGAAATACAGTTCAGTTCCAATACCTTGTCCAATGTGACTTTGAGGAAAAAAGTCTTCATTATGTTACAAGGTCGGATTAAAACCTTGAAAATACTCAACTGTGTGGCGTTAATGTTTGACTCAGCATGTAGTGAGCATAATACTAATAATAATAATAATAAACTAAATCAGCTGTAATCTGAAGTGCAGTCATAATGAATGAAGTATCGATCCAGACAACATTTGTTTCTACAATTTATACTTTAAAAATAATGTGTTTTTTGTTTTCTTCATGATTGTCAAATGATCGGTCTGTTTAGGATTAATCGAGGCTGAACAAATAATTATGTTTTACTTGATTGACATTTGTGTCAGCGAATCAAACTCCACTATGGAAATTGTTGACTTATCCTACCACAGCTACACCCAAGATCCACAAATGTCCCCACATTTAAATGTACTTTGTTCAAAATGGTCTGTTCAGCGAGCTAATCAACAATGTTTCTTCGCATACAAACACGATTTGTATTTGTTGTGCTTTTCAGGAGCCGTTTGAGGATGGGTTTGCTAACGGAGATGAGCTCAGCCCGGCCGAAGAGGCTGCGGCTAAAGAAGCAGCCGAGTCCAAAGGAGTGGTCAAGTTTGGCTGGGTCAAGGGAGTGCTGGTGAGTGTCCTTCAGAACCCAATGGCTTCTTCTGTATTCATTACTTCATCTCCTTTCTTTTTGTGTTCCAAAAGAAGTCACCCAGAAGTCACGTACCATGTAAAGTGAGGGAGCATGTGTCACAATAATTCTACTTTTACAATTACTATTGTTAGGAGCCAAAAGCACTAGTTATACTTTTGGTTGGCCAACCTTTGAAGTTAGCATTGCAAGGGCTCCTTTAATCAAAAGCAATGGGATCTTTCCATTCGATTTTGGAAGATTGCAGGAAAATATATATTTAGCAAAAACACATTTATGATAATTACACCTTTTGTACCGCAGGATAATCTCCACATATTAACACCAGTTTATGATTTTTAAAGCGTAAATGCAATCGCTAGAGACAACAAGCTAAAGTTAGGCTATAAAGGAACTACAGCAAGGTTGCATGACTTTATACCACCAGCGCTAAGCAACATTTTTAGTGTGACAACGTTTAGTGGTTTCATTTAGCCACTTGTCAATGTGAGAAGCTTTTATGAAGTGGCTGTTAACAAGTGCTGTATACACTGGGATAATTTATGATGTAAAACAAAACATGAAAATGTCTTCACCTTGTGTTGAACACAGATCTTATTTCAGGCAAACCAAGAACAGATTTAAAGAAAATGTTGACCTTGAAAGTAACCAGGTTTAAGGACTAATTTCGGCATTATGTATTACTTTGCTTATAAACTTGCTAATTTACTACGAGGTTACATTAGCTTGATAAAAGAAGAACACAACAAAAGAAAGCCGAAAATACTTAATAACCAAGAAATAGCGTAAGATAATATTACCACTAAGAAAACAGATTGTAAATGTTACTTTACATCTGCCCAGTGAAGGAGAAATAATTTCACTGTAGGTCTATTCTACCAACGCGTCCACAAATGTCTCAAATTCTTCCAAAAATCGGTCGTGTGTTGACTCAGTGAAGTGGATCACAGGTGAGAAGTGTGCCTCTGTATATAATTGGAGCTGTTGAGAGTAGATGACAGGGTGTTCAGGATTGTGGAGCCTGAGTGTGAGTTTCTCCCGGCTCAGACGGTGTTTGGCTGAACTTCTGAGGATGGAACCTCTCCAAACAGAGGGATATATAAAAGTATACACAAAGTACAGAGGATGACACAGTCTGGATACTATCATCCTGCTTTTGTTTTGACATGAAACGTCCTTACTTCCTCTCTTATACAAACCTTGCACTCGTCCATATACTTCTTGGTTTTCTAATGGCTTTTGTCAAGTAGTGTTAAATATGTGACATGCATTAAAAAAAAAAGTACTAAGTTAAAAAGTTACATAATTTAAAAAAAATACACATCCTGTAACAGTTCTTAGGATTGAGCAGCCAGGTATATATTACACAGTTATTAACGGCATCTATATATATTGCACATCTAGCACATATTGCACATAGTTGGTTGGTATTTAACAGCAGCAAGTTACACAATTTACAAAATACACCTTGTAACAGTTCTAAGGATTTAGCAGCCAGGTATATATTACACAGTTATTAACAGCATTTATATATTGCACATAGTTTGTTGGTATTTAGCAGCAAGGGGTGATATAGTCTGTGTTGTGGTGTGTGTGTAGGGGGGGGGGGGTCAACTAGGGGCTGTGCTGGTTGTATAGTCTGACTGCTGCAGGAAGGAAAGACCTGCGGTATCTCTTCGTGAGACAGCAGGGGTGCAGCAGCCAATAAAAGAGTATTAACATTTGTATTTTATTGCCACTTTCTCAACTTAAATCTGATATGAGTTTGACTTTTTCATGTTTTCATTTCTCACATTGTGTCGTTTTTAAAGTACATTTAAACTTGATTAAAATATGCTTCCAGTCCACTAGCATTATCACGGTGGTGTTGGGAAGTGGATGGTGTTTCTCTGAATATTTATACTGCTTTTTGAGTTGAAAAGAGCAGCATTCAGAAAAGCCACATGCTGCTTTCATTTGTCTTTCAACACCACCTCAAATCTTTCCACACTACTGTATGCTTCAATCATGCTCTGTCCAGAAGTTAACCAAATCATATTCATGTTGGAAACCTGTATTAAAATAAAATCCCTGTTGCAGTTCCAATAGAGAGGCGAAGTCTCGCCCATCTACTTCCGCCCCATGGGACCTTATTTCGGAAAAATTATGTATTGAAGTCAATGGAGAGAGAAAGATTATCTCTCGATCCCGTTTGAATTGTGCCATGAATTACACATATGATGTTTGTCAATCTTAACAAATAATTTCCATGTAAAAAAAGTCACAGTTTGTCGTAAAACTGTTGAAATATAAGACTATGAAAAATACGCAACTAGAAAGACTACAAATCCCAGAGTCCCGGTCCCGCATGCTGGCTCTTATGAACCGACTAACTCCCCTTGTGTGTATGTACAGCTCTCCACATGCCCAGACTTGGAGTGATTTTCACCTCTTTTAATACTTTCCGCCTCATTCTGAAAGAAAGAAGTGAAATGTGCCAACGTGACGGCCGTCTTGGTTTGTGGTGCGAGACGGGAGATGTAGTTCATTTAGCGTTTCACACAAACAAAAGTGTTACTTCACAGTTTTACGACACATTTTTATTTTTTTGACTTGGAAAATGATCTTTTAAATTGACAAACATCATATCTGTAATTCGTGGCTCAATTCAAACGGGATCGAAAGATAATCTTTCTCTCCCCATTGACTTCAATACATACTTTTTCAGAAATAAGGTCCCATGGCGGTCCCCCGGAAAGGGAGGGACTTCGCCTCTCTTTCACCCGAAAATGTGAAACGTTGTTTGGTTGAACTAAAGCTGCCCCCCCCCCCCCCCCCCCCCCCCCTTCTATGACCCCCAGTAACCGTCCCTCCTCTCTGCAGGTGCGCTGCATGTTGAACATTTGGGGTGTGATGCTCTTCATCCGCATGTCATGGATCGTGGGTCAGGCTGGAATCGGTAAGCTCCCCTCTGAAGAGCTGACAGTTTAAATGAAATGTTGTCACCTGTTTGGATTCATTTACAGACATTGTGTTTTGGACATATCGCGTGTGCAAAAGCTTCCTGTGGTTGAACGTGAGAAAAAAGCAGATGGCGTAACTCCTTGTTCCTCTTCAGAAGTGTTGAATACATTTGCTTTTCCGCACAGCTGGGGAGAACAAATACATACAGTTGTGTAATAGTCATAATGGTGCAAATAAGATGCAGGAATAAGACACATATATACATTTTAAATAGTAATGTAAGATGAAATACTATACAAATGAATACACACTGTATACAGGTCGACAGGTAACTAGCTCAAGGCTACTAACAACCATACGCCACATGTCTCATCATTAGATCATGTTTTATAACTGTTTAACTTTCATTAATACTTTTTTCCATCAATAGATAATGTAGATAACAATACACTATGAGTTTGTCATCTTTGAGAGGTTATTAGCTTCAGTCAACATAGTATAATCTTTTATTGTGGGTACATGTTATTATCAAATCATAATGATAATTTGGGGACATTATTTTTGCCATGTTAGCTGTTACCATGCAACAGATACACTGGCAAAACTGTAAGCCAGTTGCAGCCTGAGGTAGGACCAACACTGTAATGTGCACATGACGAGCAGTAAAGGTGAAGTATGCAACAGTACAAGAACAGAATGTAAACATCAGAAACAGGTTTATTACCAGGTAGGTTAACACATGTGAGGAATTTGACTTGGTGTTGTGGTGCATACATAAACATACAAATAAAACCAAAATTAAAAACACAGATAGAAAACTAAATACTGTACAGTGAAATAAAATACTGTGTGAGAGACCTCAGGCTACAGAGAAGCATCAAAATGACAGGCTGCACATAACTGAGTAATATAGCATCAGTGTGCAGAATCAGCTCTCAGTGTGGCACACGGCCTTCACCACATCAACACTGTGTCACTTCTCTCCTCACTTCACACAGTCCCCCCCCTCCCCCAAGCACTTGTTGATAAATCTCCGCTTTGATGTGAAATATCTCCACGGGGCGACACATGTGGCGGGCTTCAGTGCAGCTCGCCTCTGAGGCTGTGCTACTTTTCACAGAGTGTGCCGGACGGCCCGCGAGAAAACTGTTAACAGTGTAGCACATTCCTTCCATTCCCTCTGTTGTCTTCTCTCTCTCTTCAGGTCTCTCCTGTTTGATCGTGGGCATGGCTACCGTGGTGACAACCATCACCGGACTCTCGACCTCCGCCATCGCCACCAACGGATTCGTAAGAGGAGGTAAACACTGCGTTGATTAGTCGAAGCAGAACACAGACCTGTTCCTGCTGTGTCACATTGTAGCATTATGGCCCGTGTGGACATGGAGCCTTTTTGTGAACACCAGTGTCTTTTTCAAATTTATTCCAATAAGAACTAGTGCTAGCCTTCAGTGGCGTCCACCTCCAGAAAAAAAACAGTATTTTTTCAGAGCACTCTCACCCACTTCCAGCGCTCAGAGATGAAAACGTTTCAGAAAAAGTGCCAGGGTGACGTCACTGCATGAAAAGCTTGTGTTTGGCCGTGTCTCTCGGATGGAAACTCTCATAACAAAGACAGAAAAGCCTGTTTGTTGGAGCAGTTCGGCCGGGAGGACACTGGATGTTGCTTATAGTGAGAATCATAGTGTTTCCATGGTATCATTGTCAATTAAAGAGTGCTGGGAGGGGGGGGGGTGTTTTTGCTGCTAGCAGGCGTTCCCCAGCGACCTGCCAGTGCCTTTCTGCCAGAAAAAGTGTCTATGTGCACCCTTATGTGAGTCAGATGAAAGAGGAGAAAATCAATGAGTGTCCTTACTGCATCACTTGATGTTGAAGTGGTGGAGGCAGGGGCAGCTCTCACTGAATCAGGTGACATTTACTCAGTTTCTCTCCTCTGAGACAGAAAGGAGGTCTCATATTTAACCCCCTACCCTGCTAGGACTCTGTCAGAGCGCCTCTGCCTCGTAGACCTCTGTCTCGAATGAGATGATTGACTGGTTAATGACTTTTTATGAGCAAGTCATATGCTAAGAATGGCCGTTTAGACTCCATTAAACTCTGAGGAAGTGTCAAAGGTGATCAGCTAAGCACACAGTTAATTGTTGACTCTTTGTTCACTGATTGGCTCTATCTGAAGCTTTCATCCTTATCACATGCTCTCATCTTAAGTCCTAAATCATTCCAGCTACTGAGCTCAAATATCAACAGATTTATATCCATGACAACTGGGGGCCCATTTCCACCGTGTAATGTGGTTGAAAGCACAGGAAGCAGCATGTGTTTGGACCCTGTGTTGGAATTGTTTGATGTAAATTATGTTGGTTTGGTTTGTGGCAGCACTTGAGTAAACACTACAGATCACAGGGGCTCCATTAGTTTGCTTACAAGCATGGGTGTCCGCGGGGTCTTAAAAAGTATTAAAAGTTAAGGCTATTAAAACGTATTAAACGGCATTTTCCAAGGTATTACATTGTGTAGCTTGTTTTCAATAAGTATATAAATTGTCCAAAGAGGTTGTATTCTACAGTGTGCCTGAATGTAATCATTGCGTAGGTGTGTAGTGTGATTCTGTGTAGTTTATTTATGGCATCCCGTTGGATTTGACGTCATCTGAACAGGACATCGCGCGCTCACTGCTCGATAGCGCGCGAAGGCCCGTTTACGCCGGTTGTTAAACAACATCGTTATGGGGAAATGCAAGTTTGCGTCCAAATGGTTGGAAGATAAGGAGGAAGGACAATCAATACTGTATATAGTAAATGTGAGATGAAGTGTGTCGCCAATGTAACCGGTTAAAACTCCAAGTGGTGATGAGGTCTTAAAATGTATGGAAAGGGTCTTAAAAAAGGTCTTAAAAGGTCTTACATTTTACTTCAGGATTCCTGCATATACCCTGCAAGCATGTATCAGTGTATCCTCCCTGTACCCCTGTTACTATGCAGAGTAATCTACCAGGACTTTCAGGTTGCCCGTATTTGATTGGCCAACTCGGCGCCGTGCTGAAAATTACTTTCAACTGATTACACTTTCAGTGAGATAAGAAACAAATGTCAAAGCAGAGATTATTGGAAGTCGGAAGTTGCTTTAGCAGTGGTAACATTTTGTAAAGTGGTGAGTCATTCTTTACTGTTGAAAGTCTGCCAAATTAGGGCCCTTGTCCACATAACACCTTTTACTGGCAGGGCTCTGCGGAGCACCTCTTCCTAGCATTTATACTATATATATTTTACTTTTTAGTTATTTTATTTCCTATTTTGAGATGTGTATATTTTATGTTCTATTCTGTATAATTTCCACATTATGTGCAATGCCTTGTTTACATGCTGACGTGACGAAAACAACTCCCAAATTAGGATTATTCAAGTCAATCTAAAAATCTAATTTTGTCCATTTACGGAGAATAAAAAAAGTACAACGCTCAGCGGGAGCATCATTCAGGTTGTTTTGGTAGTTTCCATCTGACAAACACGGGCAAAAACAAGCTTCCTCAACTTATCTGAAAATATGTTCAACTTTAGTGCTCAAAGCGGCCACACAAAAAAGTCAAGGAGCTCAGAAAAAAGACGCTTGGTTGACTGAATGTTCTCTGTTCTCATTGGAATCAATTGAGGTTGTTAATACATCGCCAAGACAGACTATGCTAGTGTCACTGCTAAATCATCATACTGTATGTTTAAACAAAACAGTATACATACATTCAATAAAATAATAAGAAATCTGTTTAATTCAACATCTTCTTCACATCAGTTCACTTCCACTAACTTCTGTCCATTTTCCATTTTGCAGGTGGAGCGTATTACTTGATATCGAGGAGTCTGGGTCCGGAGTTTGGAGGATCCATCGGTCTGATCTTTGCCTTTGCCAACGCAGTGGCTGTAGCCATGTACGTGGTGGGCTTCGCTGAAACCGTTGTGGAGCTTCTTGCCGTAAGTCTCTATGTGCCTTTGATGCTCTTAGTTCAGGGGTGTCAAACTCAAGGCCCCGGGGCCAAATCCGGCCCGCGACTTCATTTTCTGTGGCCCCACAAGAGCTCTGAAATAATATAATATGTTTATTATACGGTTACATGGCGATTTACAGAAGCACGTTGCCCATAAACTACATGTCCCACAATGCATCTCAAATTGGACTTTTTAATCTCAGAATTTGACTTTTTTTCTTCAAAATATGCCTTTTTTTCTTAGAATTTCCCCTTTTCCTCGGAATTCAGTTTTTTCTTCTTCAAATTTCACTTTTCTTTTTTTGACTTTTTTCAGAATTTGGCTTTTCTTTTTGAATCATTTTGTGACATTCTCACTGAAGAGACTTGCAATTACTTGCCCTAGACTTCTGCTTTCAGACGTAGTTAATTATGAAGTTATTACCCTATCAGATAATAATCCAATGCAGAGGCAATCATGTAATATAATGCATTATTTTATATATATCAAATATTTATATATGTATTGATATAGTCTTAAAGTTACAACCAGCCCTTTGAGTGCAACCATAATTCCTACGTGGCCCGTGATGAAATTGAGTTTGACACCCCCTTAGTTGGTGTTACTACTCTTCTCTTACTTCCACTTTGACTCTCTTGAGTGGAGTAAACCTGACCTTTCCCATCACCTGCACACAGACAGCTTGCTGCAGAGAGAATTGGTGGCAATGCGACACCCTATGAGCCAAGTTAACTGATACATCACTGTTTATTGGCCCTCCACCTATCCAGCCATCCATTATTATCCTTTAGGGCTGTGGGGGGGGCTGGAACTGATCCATTTGCCTTCACAGCAGCTTCTGCAAAGCACACACAGAGGGAATGATATACCACAAAGACAAACATTGAAACCTACTCACTTTATTTGATGAATTCAGTCTGCTCAAGCCTTGTTTTACTACATTATTATTACATAAAAGTCGACAAATAGGGACTGTTCTGTCATATACAGTATGTTTTGTGTTATGCTGTTGTGCCACATGTATTGTTGACATTTATGTTTAGTGTTGATTTTCTTTTGTTCTGTTATAACGCCTTGTGTGGAATGCTTTGGCAATACTATGTTTAAAATGTGGTCATGCCAATAAAGCCCCTTTGTATTGACTGTGTGAGCTCACCATCATTTGACAGCTGTCTAATCGTCTGTAAAAATCAAGAACTTTAGCCATTGGGTTTTTATTGTTATACTCTTTAACAACTCCATGTTTTGTCTTGCAGGGTGTAGATGCCATCATGACTGATGAAATCAACGATGTCCGCATCATCGGCACCATCACAGTGATCCTTCTGCTGGGCATCTCTGTGGCGGGCATGGAATGGGAGGCCAAGGTAGGAACAAAACCCTATTGCTGGTTAAATGAAGTCTATCTTAAACATTGCTCAAGTGTGGTCCTGGTAACCTGAACTAGGTTAGAAAATGGCAAGAACCTGGCACCTATAAAAATGCCGTCACTATAGTGGCCTATTGACATTTTGAGCCCTTTAAAGAATCAAAAATAAAGCACCGTTTAGGTCTAAAGGCAGAGCAGAGGCATTAGATTCCTGGAAATCCAAATGTTCCCTCGAGCCATCAGACTCGGGACACGCACCATGATTGATTTCAAGATTCAAGATTATTGTCATGTGTACATAGCTACAGTGTAGTTATGACAATGAACATCTTAGGTCACAGGCTCCTCCAACAGTGCAACACAATAAAACCGATACAATAGTGCAAGTAAATAAAATAGAATATAATAGAAATAGTGCAGAATAGTCAAGTAATTGGAATATATATAAGTTGCAAACAGATGAATGTTATGGATTTTCTTTCAAAAGTTCAGGTGTTTGACAGTCATGTTAGTGTAAGAGATCAGCTGTGACTAATAATTTGGTTTGTTTTCTTCTCCGTAGGCCCAGATATTCTTACTCATTGTCCTCATCGCAGCCATCATCAACTACTTCATCGGAACCTTCATCCCCATCAAGTCCAAGGAAGCTTTTGGCTACTTTGGCTACGACAGTATGTCCACACACTTAAATGAAACTAGCTGAAATCAACAGAATGAACATATCTAACTCCTGTGTTGGCACTGAAGAAGGCTGTCCCTGGCCGTACAGTACTCTAATCTCTATCGTATTATCAGGTGCAATCATGTGGGAGAACATGGGTCCGGATTTCCGAGACGAGACGTTCTTCTCCATGTTTGCCATCTTCTTCCCTGCAGCCACTGGTATTCTGGCCGGGGCCAACATTTCAGGAGACCTCGCTGTAAGTCTACTGAGATGATGCTTATGGAATGGATTTAGACTTATTAGATTGACGCTGTCGAACCGAGCAAACTTAAAGGCCTTTTTATAGATAAGAAATCCCATGTTTGTGTAGATCCGATAGCTTTTGTTGTGTTTTTTGTTGCAGGACCCACAGCTGGCCATCCCCAGAGGAACCCTTCTGGCCATCGTGATCACAGGAATAGTGTACCTGGGAGTTGCTATTTCAACAGGTGCAGTGCTATATGTGATTTAGTCTGTAACTTGGAACATCTGTAATTATTTTACATATATCATGAGGTGCTTTCACACCGGAGTACTTTTCCCCGTACTTTTCCCGTTTAGTTCCGATAGTTCCTGGAGTTTTGCGATCACACCAAAAAGAGAACTTAGTTCATGAGAACTTTCCCCCCTTCTTCGTGCCTGCTAGAGAGGTGGTACTTTCCTGGGGAGAAAAAAGTTCCAATTTCTGATTGGCTGGGAGAATTGCAAACCACGCCCCGTAAAACTCGGAAACTTTTTTTTAAGCCGCCATTGTATTTGCTGGCATTAGCATTATTAGCATTAGCATTAGTCCCGTGCACCAACGGAGAGAGACTAACTTATGGCAACACAAAAAAAAACATGGGAGCGGTGGATTGATGAGGAGGTGTCGGCGTTCTGGCGATTTACTCGGAAGGCTTCAGTAGAAGCTGCTGGGAGTCCCAGCAGCTTCTACTGAAGCCAGTCCCCAACTCCGGGGACTTCCGGCCGGGGACTTCGGGTGGCAGTATACGCCGTGAAGTTGTTTTGCGGCCTGCCAGTAAACCCAAAGCAGAAGTGACGTCAGCGGCTTCATTTGCGTAATCTTCCCTCAGGGACTTATTCCGGTGTGAACGTGATCTGCTCTTTAGTTCCATGGGGGAACTAAGTGCTGGGAACTAAGTGCGGCAAAGTACTTGGTGTGAAAGCGGCTATAGTGTGAAAGCGGCTATGGTGTCTAACAGAGTGTCTGTGCATTTCTCACCAGGCTCCTGTATTGTGAGAGACGCCAGTGGGAATGCTAATGACACACTCAGTTCTGAGTTCATAACCAACTGCACAGACGCTGCCTGCAAATTCGGCTTTGATTTCTCTTCGTGTAAGAACGATGCTGCCGGCTGCAAATTTGGACTCATAAATGACTTCCAGGTATGAAGGGTGCTCAGCCAGGAGACGAGGTCTGGAGAGGTCATAAGAATTGCTGTTTGTCGGGTGTAAAAAGTCTAATTCACATTCGTGTTTGTTTCAGGTGATGAGCATGGTTTCTGGTTTCGGGCCCATCATCTCTGCTGGAATCTTCTCGGCCACTCTGTCCTCCGCTCTGGCCTCGTTAGTCAGCGCTCCCAAAGTTTTCCAGGTAAGATCTGACACAACGTGCATTAAGGCACCTAACGAATTACACTAACAACCCTCAAGATTCAAAGATTCATTATTGTCATATACACGTAGCTTCAGAGTAGTTATGGCAATGAAACTTAACTTAAGTCCCAGGCTCATCCTAACACACAACATAAATACATGTAAATAGAATAAGATAAACAAGAACAGAACGTAAAATGAAATGCTGTACAGTGAAACAATATACTGTTAAGAGCAATTTACCTATAGATTTGGCTAACAGTACATTTTGTAGTTTTTTAACATGAACACCTAACACTCTTTGTTATTTTTCCACAGGCTTTGTGTAAGGACAACATTTACCCCGGCCTGGGCATGTTCGCCAAAGGCTACGGCAAGAACAAACGAGCCCCTGAAGGATACATCCTGACCTTCATCATCGCTCTGGCCTTCATCCTCATCGGTACGGCTGCACACACTACTCACTAGTCATTATATCTCTGAGTTACCAATAACCCCCACTTAGTATGACCCAAAAATCTAGGGGTGGTAGTGTTTCAATCAAGAGAACGTTACTTGAGAGGACATCTGGCAGTGACCATAAGGACAAATTAAGATAGTGGTTAATTGGGGCATTTACAATGAATTGAATAAGGCTGTAAGGCCCCCTGAGACAAATGGTTAATTTGTGATATTAGCATTGGATTGATTGAGGACATTTAAATGACCTTTTTAATAAGTGAATAATGAATAGGTACTTTGGTTTGAATAGACCAATTAGTTCAAGTTTGTCCCTTAATTTCCTATAATTAGTGCCAAATTACACAGTTATTCCCTGCAAACTGTTTTGAACATTATTATGAATAATTACGAAATAATGGTCCCCTATAAAAAGGCATTATGCTTATATGCAGATACAGAGCATGGTCTGATGGGGCGAGAATCATTCCATCAGAAGTATCTCAACCCAATTGGTACCAATGTTATAGATATAATATTGTGCACTGGTCCCAAGTATTTGATGGTGGAAACCAGAGTTTCCGTTAGCCGGTAATTACCGGACTATGACCGGTATAATATGCTGAAGACCGGCAAATCTAAATCTCTCCGGTCAAAATAATTTCCCCTTAGCGCAATACCGCATCAATTGCGCCACTTATGTGACAGACAAGAAGAGTCAATGCGCTACATGCACAGTCACTTCCTTTCTAATGTCTGACATTTAATGTGGAGAAAGAGATGTATCCTCCTGAAGGGGACATTTTGACCCCTCATGTAAACAAATGCTTAATGCTGCGCTAAACTTTTGCCGCCACATCCCATTGCCAAGCAACGCTTATAGGTGTCCTTTTGATACGCAGGCAGTCGTATCATTAACTAGAACTAGCTAGATCTGATCGATATGGACATAAACGCGAGTAATCTGACGAGAGAGATAGAGATCAGAGAGCAGATCAGCTGCTGCTGACGTAGACACGCAGCTCTGCATGATCACAGCTCCGCCCGCTGTGACGGACCGGTGAGCGGAGCAAAACACACACTTCAAGTTATACCTAACACACTTAGCTATTTGATCTACCTCTGGAACAAGCTAAACTAGTTATAAATATATATATTTGTTCTTCACTGTCGGGTCACTCATTACTGGATCAGTGAGCTGCATGAGAGGGACGGGCTGTCAGGAGAGAGAGGGGGAGAGAGAGAGAGAGGCTCCATTTATTATCCAAAGTTACTGTACACTTTTGAATAATGTAGTTAATCTACTATAATTAGTTTGTTTTATATATAGTCGTTATCAATTTGTTTTAAAGCTCAATAAATAACAAAGAAGACCTTTGACCGGCACTTTTCTCATTTTGTCCGGAAGATTTAAACTTTAACGGACATGTTGACCGGCGAAAAGAAATTCGGAAACTCTTGTGTAAACTGTGAAGAATTGTCCGATGTATTGACCTACAGACTCAAATAAATCCAATTAATAGCCTTTTGTTTTCCTCTTGCAAACGAATGAGGAAAAGAGGACAGGACATGTGACAGTGATTCATTTTAATTGTACCGTTTCATGTGTTGTTCTTGCAGCTCAGTTGAACATTATTGCCCCCATCATCTCCAACTTTTTCTTGGCTTCCTACGCCTTGATCAACTTCTCCGTGTTCCACGCTTCACTGGCTAACTCCCCAGGTAAGATCAAAAGCAGAGAAATGTGCAGAGTTGTAGAGTTAGGATCATTAGAGATTGTTAAAAACCAGTCATATGGTTTTTAACAATGATTGGAAATGATGGGATTCAAAAGGAATCACATGTCTAAGTGCTCTCACAGCTTAGAGTCTTAACGGATCAGAAGCCAGATAGATGTCCTGCAGTAGCACTCGCATGAACAACTCAAATTTCTATTCTGTAAACTTTTAGGGTGTTTTCAAATGTTTCCAAAATCAAAGCTTTAGATTTTTTTGTTATTCAAATTGTTAGGATTTCACTTTGACAGAACAGCAAGCCTTGTCCAACATCAAAGTTAACGTTTTACTTAAACCAATTACTCCATACTTCCTTTACTGTCATTGTAGCGATGACGCAGTGTTATTTAATATCGTTGAAAATGACATGAAATCCCAGTGCAGTGATCGTCTGTTGGTGGTCAGTTGTTTTTGATTCCCATATGCTCCAATCACTACATGACTATACAGATCATTAAAATATACTACTACTATTGTTCCCAACAGATGACTAATTTTATTCAATGCGCTGAGTCATAGTTATGAGTCATGGTTTAGTGTTGTATTGGAGCAATAGGCATTTTTATTTGTATTGAGCTGTTTTGTCTGGCATCAGAACAGTTACCTGGTAGCATCATCTACAGCAGGGGTGTCAAACTCAAATACACAGTGGGCCAAAATTAAAAAATCGGTACTAGTCGAGGGCCGGACTGGTTCAATGTTTATTGCAAAACTTATTGAAATGAACTTATTGCACAGTCATTTCTTATGATTAGATTTTCCCACAGGCCAGCAACAGCTTCAAAAAAACTATTTCCCTCAAAGAGAAAACCAAACATGCCCTGTTGTCTCAAGAAAGAAAGTGCAGAAGGAAACATCCATGTAAACTCAGTGTGCTGCTCTGTGATGCTAGTTCAAGCCAGATACTTGGCATCTCATCTTGGGTGCAAGTTCATCAATGTTTGGGCTCAGGCTCTGAGCTGAGGAGACCCTCAGGATTGAGTGAAGGTGTGCGTGCAATATACCGGAGGGCCAGATCTAATAGTAATTAAACATTATCCTGCGGGCCGAAATTAAATCCACCAAGGGCCTGATTTGGCCCCCGGGCCTTGAGTTTGACACATGTGATCTACAGCTACAGAGAAATACCTGAACGTATCAGCAGCCTTTTCACAGGTGATGCTGTAGCGTGCAAAACATCTGTACTTTTTGGTGGGTATTTTAATAAAAAAATCCAGATTGGTATTGCCCTCCAATGGCTTCTATCCAGGATAGTTTTGCTTATATTTGTCCATGTTTTGAGATATGTGTCTGTGCCTTCAATCCACTGAGTTTAACTGTGATAGATTTGTACAAAAATAAAACCATGAACACTTGAACAGACACTGTTTCCAGAAAGAGTGTTACTGTCTTTTGAATAGCGAAGAAGACCAATGAACAAATAAGATTAGCCGGCTTCTGGAAACCACTTAAGGATTAACTTTAATTTCCATAGCTCATGTGACGAAAGGTCATAATGAACCTTTGTCTTGTTAATGAGCTCTGGGAAAGAAGATCAGAGAGGATCAGGTGTGAGTGGATAACAAGTCTGTAATGGCTCTATCGTGGTTAATTATCTCTCTCGCTGTCTCCTTTCAGCTGTCGTATCAATGTTATAGATATAAATAGTTTTCACACCGGAGTACTTTTCCCAGTATAGTTCCGATATATAGTTCAGAAAATGTGCGTTCACACCAAAAAAAAATCGGAACTAGAACTTAGTTCATGAGAACCTTTTCACCCCCTTTCAGTCCCTGCAAGAGAGCAGGTACTTTCGTGGGAGAAAAAGGTTCCCATTTCTGATTGGCTGGGCGAATTGCAAACCACGCCCAGTAAAACTCAAAAAAGTTTTGTGAAGCCGTCATTTTATTTTCCTCGCATTAGCATTATTAGCATTAGCCCCGCGCACCAACGGAGAGAGACTAACTTATGGCAACACAAAAGAACACATGGGAGCGGTGGAGATGAGGAGCTGTCAGCGTTTCTGGAGATTTACTCTGAAGGCTTCAGTAGAAGCTGCTGGGAGTCCCAGCAACTTCACGGCGTACACGGCAGTATACGGCCGGGACTTCGGGTGGCAGTATACGCCGTGAAGTTGTTTGCGGCCTGCCGGTAAACCCAAAGCAGAAGAAGAAGAAGTGACGTCAGCGGCTTCATTTGCCTAATCCTCCCTCAGGGATTTATTCCGGTGTGAACGCGATCTGTACTTAGTTCATGAGAACTAAAGAGTTCTGATGAACTAAGTTCTGATGAACTTAGTACGGCAAAGTACTTGGTGTGAAAGCGCCTATTGTAATAGATCTGAGTCAGGACATGTGATATATGTAACAAGTTGCTGGTGCAAAGAAAGGTGTAAGTACCTTATCATAGTTTGTCAAATTGAATAAAACCACCAACCAAAGCTGTTTCTATCTTTTCAAATGTCTGATCTTAACTCCATCTGATACATAGTGTAGAAAGATTTGGTCTGATAAGGGATTCAGTAATACTTTAGATTACATTTTTCCTGGAAAGAAGTGGAAACTTAAATCTAAGACACAGACGGTGAAACGCAGACGATCGCATGGTGCGCACATGTGAGGAAATATTTCCATTTCTTTGGACTGACACTGAGAATATCTTACTGAAATGCATCTCCAGTAGTGGATCGTTCTGTATATTGAGTTGTTTGCTTTTTCCCTCCTCAATACCAAAGCTCTAGCAGAACTCCAGGTACAGATTCTCTATCGGCTTCTATTTCCTCCAGCCAGGTCATAAAATCACACGGACTTAAATGGTACACGACTAAATTAGAGGCGAGCAGTAATACACACATTATCTTGTGGATTGTACTGCCTCTGCAAACTCTTCCACCCATTCGGTGTTCTCTCCCCGCTCATGGGGCTGAGACGATGTACCCTTTATGTCCTGTGCTTTGATTTAGCCTCTTGTCATTGTGTAACTGCACACAGTATCCCATCACTAAATCCTCCTAGTCTAGTTTTCTGTGGAACCCAGTAAACCACATACGGCGTCTAATAGCTGGTATAACCTTCAGGCTGCTAACTCCCGTTTGTTAACCTCAACACATATCCAACCATAAACGTTATCCATGCATTTAACAGCAACATGAACTATTCTAAGACCATGTTAACATCTATGACAATGTCTCCTCTCCACAATATGTCCTAATTTCAAACAACAGGTCCGACTTAATTGGGTTAAGGAGTCCTTGACTTTACTCAACCTTAACATGAATGCATCTCCTCACTTTTACCATTATTATTAATATTGCAAACATTATGAAACGGTTTGTGACGAGCTCTCTTGAGGGGTTTTGTTGGCGATGTCGTGACATGTTTTCCTCGGTGCTGCAGGATGGCGTCCCAGCTTCAAATACTACAACATGTGGGTGTCTCTGGCCGGAGCGGTCCTGTGCTGCGTGGTGATGTTCGTCATCAACTGGTGGGCGGCTCTGCTCACCACGTCATCGTGCTGGGGCTGTTCATCTACGTCAGCTACAAGAAGCCAGGTGAACTACTTTTCTGTTTTCTAACATATGGATCCATGGAGTAACTAGAAAACTATTTTGTGCTTTTGGCCACAGCTGACTATACATGTACTGGACTTCTTTCTGCAGATTGATATGACTAAACATGGTCTTTGATCAGAGCATTCTTAGCAATAGTTTGTTATACCTAGCAACAGTCTGATATTAAGAAATAACAGACTGCAGAATTTCCAAACTGAACAATCAGACATGAGTATTAAACTAAACCATCAAACCTTTTTACTCGACCAATCATTTCAAAATCGCTGAAGCTATGTTCACATGATACAACAAGTAGATATCTAACAAATTATGATTCTTGACCAAAACGATCAAATGTATTAATATTCCTTGTTAGATGATAAACATATTTAGTCTGTGGTCAGTGAGCACAGCACAGATTAATACGAAACTAGCATATTTTGTTTCAGAACATAAACTTTTTTTCAATACAAATATTTCAATATTTTGATAATGAGCTAAATATCTGACAAATCTAAATATGTTGTTTAATGCACACAATACTCCATCAGAGAAAACTATGCCTTATCCTGGAAGAAGTTTGACAAACTAATATTTTATTTTCAAGAACAAAAGCTTAGAAAATATTAGATAGATGTAGATCAGGGGTCAAACTGTGGCCTCACAAGAGCTCTGAAAGAATATAATATGTTTATTATACGGTTACATGGCGATTTACAGAAGCACATTGCCCATAAACTACGATGTCCAACAAGTGCATCTCAAATTTGACTTTTTCTCAGAATTTGACATTTTTTTATGCCACGTTTTTTTCTTCAAAATGTCACTTGTTTTTTTGGACTTTTTTTCTCCAGAATTTGGCTTTCTTTTAAATCATTTTGTGACATTCTCACTGAAGAGACTTGCAATTATTTGCCCTAGACTTCTTCTTTCAGACGTAGCTAATTATGAAGTTTATTACCCTATCCGATAATAATCCAATGCAGAGGCAATAATGTAATATAATACATTATTTTATATATATTAATATTTATATATGTATTGATATAGTCTTAAAGTTACAACCAGCCCTCTGAGTGCAACCATAATTCCTACGTGGCCCGTGATGAAATTGAGTTTGACACCCCTGATGTAGATGAACTACAACAGAGCTCATGGGGTGTTAAATACATTTGAAGATGCTCTAAATATGTGTTACAGACCATCAAACACTCATCATAATGTCTTGTATTCCTTTCTTTCTGAATGTGTTATTGCACATATAGAATTGCTAACAAATAACAGACAGAAATGACTGGGCCTTGTGTGTGCCGTGGCATTTAAAAAATGTTGCCTGTTTCTATCATAAAGCGAAACTAGTAAACAAGTGTGACTGAATACATCCCTGCTTCCACAACACACATCTGTGCACCTCTGCAAACACAAAGCAGCTCTGAACACACACCTGTGTGCACACGCAGTTTGACACGCAGCTACACACACATGCGAGGCCTTCCCTTGCCTGTGACACCACATGGGTCAGTGCTCTCTGTAAACACGCTGTGTGTTTCTGCCCGCATGCGTCCTCCTCTCCAGATGTGAACTGGGGCTCCTCCACCCAGGCGCTGACCTACCACCAGGCCCTCACACACACTCTGCACCTCAGCGGAGTGGAGGACCACGTCAAGAACTTCAGGTACAAAACACAGCCACGCACCCCCACTAGACACACACACATCTGCAGTTACCAGCATTACAGTTGGACTAGGCTAATTGTAGTTTCTATTTAAACAAGGACCATGCATACAAATAAAGTTTTATGCCAGAGTTTAGCGAATAGCTCATTCCATCTGCAGTCCTGTATCTTATTACGTATTTCACCATATACAGCAAATCATAATCAGGCAGACATCTGTTAGCATGCTGAAATATAAGCGATAGCCTTGTTTCAGTGTTGATATATTACATTTGTTTACTTTACATTTCATTTAGTCAAAGCTTTTATTCATTTAGTCGAAGCTTTTATTCAAAGTAACTTGCGGTGCATTTAACCCACGAAGAAACAAACATAATAAAGCAAGAATCCTTCAAGATCAATCGCTTTGAATAATCAAAACCATTATATTATTTATGATTAATATCCTCCCAGGATGTTGTTTCTGTTGCTTATAATATAAATAAAACAATCATTTAGTAGCTTTGGAAGATGTCTGTCCTGTGCTGATTCATGATGTTGAACACACCTAAAGCAGGTAGGATTATTTCCAATTGATATCCAGCGTGTAGCACACTGGGGACGTATCGGAGATTATGTTGCCAGGGCAGCAGAGCGAGCAGAGATTAAAGTCTCTGGTTGTCTTCAGGGAGACTCTTAGCTCCTTCTTGTCTTCTCTCACTGCCTCCATTAAATCTCACGGTGCTTAACATATTCTCTTTGATGTGCGCTACTCTGCTCCGTATTTGTCCTGTGCTAAAGACCAGAGGTCACCGTGAAGGTCAGGGCGAAGAGGCGCTGCACTTTTAGAAGCTAGTCATGCTGTTAATGTCAGAATGAAATGGTGATGTATACAGTAGAAATGCTGATGTGCGTGTGTGTGTGTGTGTGTAGACCCCAGTGTTTGGTGATGACGGGATACCCCAACTCTCGCCCTGCTCTCCTGGATCTGGTCTACAGCTTCACCAAGAACGTGGGCCTGATGATCTGCGGTCACATCCGCACGGTGAGGAGAAACCCTCTGGTTGGCCTTTAGTTGATGTTAACAGTGAACAGAAATTAACTTGCTTGTCGCGACAAAACTCCCAATGAACAGTCGCTTAGGGGCTAAGGTTGCCTCATCGCTTTGAGGCGTTTCAAAGAGTCCTGTAGTGACGTCATAGTTTAACGATGTTTCATGACTCAAATAAACAACAACAACTTCAACTGTCCACACATGTTAGCGCCAGCTCAGGCCACCTGTTGTTTGCTGGGAATTTTGTTTTGACAAGAGGGTGTCAAAACAAAATTCCCAGCAAACAACAGGTGGCCTGAATACCAATAAACCACACCCATGTGACCATTGCCGTGAATTGTAATTAAATACAAATGTGCGCAATCTAAAATAATAACAATAATGGAAATAATTAACTCGGGCTAAATAAGCATTTTGGCTCCTACCCTCATCGTTGGGGATGTTGTTTTGAAGTGGAAGTAAATAAATAATAATAATCATCTTCCCGATACAGCACTCTTCATGAAGCTATGTTCAAAAATCTGATCATGCTCCAAAATAACATCTGCCAAAAGTACTTCAGGGGGCGGAGCATTTCCAAGTGCAGTTAAACTTAAACAGCTTCAACCTAACGAGCATACTTTTTGAATAGTAAAAATGAGAAGCTTGATTTAAAGTCTGCACATTAAACTGTAAGCATGCACAGCACATAGTAAAATGACTCCATGTATTCTCCATCACACTATTGCACTGTCGGAGCCAAAGTGTTACTGCAGTCAAAGATCTTATTTTGAATTATCTCTCTGTGTGATGTATCTAATTCAGCCCTTATGTTAATTATAGAGTCATAATTCCATAACCATTCATTCTTTATTGTAAAACCTCTCTTTTATAAATGAAGTGTTCATGTTAACCCTTTTCCCATGTATTAAACCGATAGCTAACTCCCCACATGGCACATTCCACATAGTTCGTGTTGTTTGAATGAATGGATTGTGTTTGCCTGTGATATGGTAGAAGGTTAGTTTCTATCTGAATATGCCATGGTAAATACAGCCTGTGCAGATAACTGCTTTATTTCTGTTTCATTCTAGTCAGGTCTCATTAGGTCCGGTTAACTTCACCTTGAATATTCCCACAATGCTGCACTGTGGGCTTAACACCATGATGTGACGCCTGGATCGGATTACAGCTGTACATGTATCACTTAGTAGATGTGTAAAGTCCTCACTTTACTCTATGGCGCATTTCCACTGCAGGGCCTCGCACGGCTTAGTACGGTATAGTTAGGCCTTGGTAGGCCAGGCTCACTTTATGCTGCGTTTCCATTACAGTTTAGGAACTGGGGTAGTAACTATAGTAACGCAGTGTAGGCGGAGCCGTGACATCATCTTCAATGAGAAATACAAAACCAACATCAGCCGTTAGCTGTTAGCCCTCAGAGCTCACAGCTCCTCATATCTGTTCAGAAACTAGACAAAAGTGAAACAAGTACAAACCACAGACTGCTGTGTCATGGCGAATACAGTCGCTGGTTTATTTATGTCTGTAGGCCGTTGTTGTGAGTGTGGACGGTCGGAGAATATACAACGTTAGCTTAGCCGATCTCCATTTAGAAAACACGCATTTTAAAAGGTGTTTCGCCTGCCGTCTGTCTGCAGACTTGACAAAGCATTAATTCATGGTTTTTACTAACCGGTATCATATTTGTTACTTCGGCATCATTTTGAAAGTGTATTACAATTAAATCACGGTCAAATATGTTCATTTTGTTTTAGTTGCCAGCGATTCTCTCACTAGTTTAGCATACTCAGACCGGTTGTTGGCCCGGAAAGAACCTGGATTTTGGAGAGCCAGAAAAACTGTGAAAAAGTACCCGTTAGCCGGAACTACCCCTAGTGGAAACGCAACCAAAAACGGGCCGGGTTTGGCACGGCACACTTAAACCGTGCTACGCGCTGCAGTGGAAATGCGCCATTAGTGAAGTCTAGTTAGTGTCAGACTAACGATTCAACAAATGAAGTTACTCTTCTCTATTTACTAAGAAAGTTTGTCACTTCTTGTCATTTCTTTGACATGTAATGAGTTCACACTTATGTTTGGGCCCTTTGATGGTCAGGTACATTATACTTAACTATCCATTTCTATGACCTACCATCTCCAATCAAGTCATATTCAACATGCTCAGCTTATTTTTCAGTCATTCAACAGCATTACACTTGTTTTCACAACTGTCGCCTGAGTAGTACTGGATTAAATAAAAACAATACAGCTGATAATACTTTTCAATACAAACATGTCTTTTAAATATGTGAATATAAGTAAAAACGTGCCAATATTGGCTTTTTGAGCCGTAACAAGGCCAATTTCAAAGTAAGGATGATCTCCTGCAACAGTTACTTATCATGCTTCCTGTTCTTGCTCTGAGGAAGTTCATTGTTTATTTAATTTAAGATCATTTTCTCTTTAACGCTTCATCACAGTTGTGGGATGTCTTACCTGAGTTTTGACGGAGGTATGAGCACATCACTGGTCCTCAGCGGAAACAGTTGATGCGTTTGTTCCACTCCTGAATACACGGTGTAAAAACCTTTTGCAAATCCCCTGCCAGCATAACTGCTCCACAATGGGAGGCCATTTTAAATTGTATGAATGCAGGCTCTGTGCAGTGAAGCAGCTCTGTGTTTCTGATCTGTTAAACGTTGTAAACATCCTCAGCTAATGGCACTACAGATTCCTCTCTGAAGAGCAGCTTTACAAGTGCTTTTCTTCAGAAATAAACAACGATTTTGAAGAGGAGATTCCGAGTGAAATAAGCTTTCTGTGATGACTAACCTGTTTAAATATAGACGTACAGTATTCCACGCAGGGCTGTGAGATGAGTTACATTTTCTGTGTGTGTCCACAGGGCTACAGGAGGCCAAACTTCAAAGACCTGGCTAACGATCAGGCGCGGTACCAGCGCTGGCTCCTGAAGAACGAGACCAAGGCCTTCTACACACCGGTGTTTGCAGAGGACATGAGGCAGGGCGCTCAATACCTGCTGCAGGTAGGAGGACAGTTTCAACCAATCACTGACAGGCAAACACTGTTCAAGACTCCAACAACTCTGTTTGTTGCTGTTGATGAGCACATGTTTATTATGGCACATTCTATAAAAATACACAACGATATTACTTAAGAAATGTTTCTTGAATCACAGCAGCTTCGTTTGCAACTTCAAACAAGGACAAATATTAAGACACAATACAAGTGAAAGAGACATTTAAACTAGGGCTGTCAAGTTAACGCGTTAATAAAACAATTTTTTAACGCCACTAATTATTTTAATGTGCATTTAACGCATGTGTATTTGTCCAACCATATATCGAGCCCACTCGTCGATTTCCAATGATTTAATGTAATTGTTTGCCTGTCTGGCCATCGTAATCGGGCTCTTTGAAGATCCAAAAATCCATGGTTTTCTTTAATTTCTGATCGAATTGGCAAAAACTTCAGAATTCGTATTGACCGCCATTCAAATGACAGCGTTGTTTTCCCCCAAAAGTGGGCGGGGCCGTCATTTTCGCCCGGAAGTGACGTAGGTGTTACTCTCATCTATTAGATATAAACCGTTTAAATAGTTTCCAAAAGGAATGAAGAATTGGGAAAACACAAATGACAGAAATCAGTTGGGATTATTTTATATTTTGTTGTTGCCTACAACTCTCATGGAAAGACTCAAATCAAAATGTGTTTCTCTTCATCTTTCTGGAGTGCCTACTCTAATCTCCAAGCCCATTGGTTACTAATGAACATCACATGAGTATAGTTTCATTCTAAAAACAGTCAGATCATTTGGGACTATTTTAAGCTGCTGATTAATCTACATTTGCTATAGTGAGTATTTGTGGCAGCGGGGTGGTGTATGTGGGAGTCTAAATATATGTGTTCATGCTAGTTGAGGACACATGACTCCTAGGAATGTATCCAGCCTTGTTGAATCAGAGTGCAGGACTGATTGAGTTTGATTTCTCGCCCCCTCCAGGCTGCTGGTCTGGGCCGCCTGAAGCCCAACATGCTGGTGATGGGCTTCAAGAACGACTGGAGGGACGGAGACATGATGAACGTGGAGACCTACATCAGCATGATCCAGTAGGTGGAGCCTAGAGAAACTCCCTCTGGAGGAAACAGGGGTTTAGCCTTTGCAAAAAAAAAAAATGAAAACTTTATTTTTGTATCTGGATTAGATTATTCTTTCCCTCCCTGTAAATGACTTAGATTAGGTTTTTTTTGTACAATTTGAGATGTATTTAACATATTTATGTAGTAAATTCGACATAGGATTTAAGTTATTTGATCAAAAACTACTGGGAGAACAATTTTGTAATAAGTAGGGATGCTCCGATCGATATCGACCGATACTCACTCTCTGCCGATCGATCGGTGCTCTCTATAAAGGCCGATTAGGAGACCCGATCACATGACGTAAAATACATGACACTTTTCTCTGTGCGCGGCAAAACAAGCTCGCCAAAATGGCTTCACTAGTCTGGTAGTATGTTAAGGTGTCCGAAAAAGACAATAAAATAGCGGTATGCAACGTGTGTGTAAAGCAGAAATCCTGCAGCTCCACCCGCTGTGAGGGACCGGTGAGCGGAGCAAAACACACATTAAGAGTTAGACCTAACACACTTAGCTATTTTATCTACCTCTGGAACAAGCTACACTAGTTATAAATATATTTATTCTTCACTGTCGGGTCACTCATTACTGGATCAGTAAGCTGCATGAGATACTGACAGGCTGTCAGGAGAGAGAGAGAGGGGGAGAGAGGAAAAGAGAGCGCTTCCGCTCATTTCTCCCGTGTTATTATCCAAAGTTAATGTAAACTTGAATAATGTACTTCATTTGAATGTAATAATTATGTTGGTTGTTGTTTGTGGAAGCGCCAGTGAATGAGCCCCATTAACTGAGTTTTAAACATCACTTTAAATGGAAGATCCCCATAGGCCCCGCCCACTCGATCGGATCGGCAATCGGTATCGGCCGATACTGTAATGTCCATTAGTGAGGGTCAGGGTTAGGACACGCAATCGTCACTTTGACCTAGAAGTTAGTACTGCTGGTGCTCTGGGAACAGAACAGGGTCCCCCCCCCCATGTGAAGCCTGTTTCCCAGCAGCAGTCATGTGAGTGTGAGTGAAGGAGTTACTGATTGTAACATTAAGGGATTACTGCATTAGAGCTGAAGATCAGGGATGCTTCATTAAAATCACGCTAATCTCTCAGCAATGTGCCCTCTCCCTCCGCTGAGACACAGAGTCCACACCACCCTCTCTCCCTCCGCTGAGACACAGAGTCCACACCACCCTCTCTCCCTCCGCTGAGACGCAGAGTCCACACCACCCTCTCTCCCTCCGCTGAGACGCAGAGTCCACACCACCCTCTCTCCCTCCCCGCTGAGACGCAGAGTCCACACCACCCTCTCTCCCCTCCGCTGAGACGCAGAGTCCACACCACCCTCTCTCCCTCCCCTGAGACGCAGAGTCCACACCACCCTCTCCCTCCGCTGAGACGCAGAGTCCACACCACCCTCTCTCCCTCCGCTGAGACGCAGAGTCCACACCACCCTCTCTCCCTCCGCTGAGACGCAGAGTCCACACCACCCTCTCTCCCTCCCCTGAGACGCAGAGTCCACACCACCCTCTCTCCCTCCCCTGAGACGCAGAGTCCACACCACCCTCTCTCCTCCTCTGAGACGCAGAGTCCACACCCCCTCTTCCCTTCATGTGTGCACCTGCTGTCCTATCTGTCCCCCTGTTGAACCGTCCATCATTTTTTTTTATTTCTCTGTTCTCCTCCCCAGTGATGCCTTTGACTTCCAGTTTGGTGCTGTTATTCTGCGCCTGAAGGAGGGGCTCGATGTGTCTCATATCCAAGGACAAGGTATAAAACACACACACACACACACACACACACACACACACACACACACACACACAACACATGGTCAGGGAAGCGTTCAGATATATTTGACGTGTAAACACATATGCCATACGTTTTCAATGTCACAAGTCAAATAATCAAATTGAAAGCCAACAACCATATTGTTCTCTAATCTAATTGTTGTTGTTTTGAACTCACCTCACTT